GAGGCCATCGCTGGTAGGTTGGAGGCCATCGCTGGTAGGTTGGAGGCTATCCATCGATTCATATGCCTTTGTTCCTCATGGTTCTCACTTCACGTCCACCCAGTGCCAACGACTTCCGCAAGTGCGCCCGGCTGCCTTGCACACATCAACGGCCGACGGCGGACGCCCGGCGTTCCCGGCGGTTCCGGGCGACGGTTCCGGGCGAAGGCACCTCTTGAAGAACTCGGGTCAACTGTGAATCTCTGTATGGCACATGAGGTCTTTGCTCCGCCAATGCATCGATCACTTTACCTCGGAGACACGAGGTAAGGATGACCCGGTGATCAGCTGTGTTTCATCGTTCTTCCAATTTATTCCTTTTGAGTGCTGGCTCGCCAATTCTTTCCCCGTGCGCAGAAAAGAGCGGATCTCCGAAAGCTGCGGTTCAAGAGAGGATCTCCGACTGCACTGGGTCTCTGGCCAAGAGCACTTAAGGACCAATTAATCTTCTTGGCCTGCATGGCACTGGCTGCTGGCATGATGCTTGCTTTGATGTTTGCTTGGCATTTGCACTCTTCCATGTTGTGACGCATTCCCGGAATGTGAGTGCTTCATGATGGGCAAGCATCCGGGATTTCTTTGATGGGCAAGTTCCAAGCATCCAAAGGCTATGTGAATAGGGAAAACGATGGTGCTAAGCTTTCTGGCCATTCATCCTTCAAAACAATCCAGGATGACCTCCTCCAGTGTCTCGCCGACACACTCACTCTTGGACACTTTCTCGCTTCCAGCAAGATCAACCAAAGTCAACCTCAAGGAGGGAGCTTTTGCGGTCTCAGACTTCGGTCTGACCGAGACAAGTTGACAGGCAACCATGTCGTACAGTCCATGCCGCGAAAGAAAAGGAACGGCCAACGGTGCCCCAAAACGGTGCCCCCCTTTCTGGCAAACTCATGACTCATGCAAACTCTGTGCTTGCTGTTCTGAGATGTTCTGAATCGTTCCGAGTGATGATTGCACCCTTCAGGAAGTTGCTGCCTTCCTCCGTTCAGAGGAACAAAGGACAAAAAAAACACTCGTGTCACATGTCGCATATCTCCCTAGAACTAGAACTGTTCTGAGCAGTGCACTTGCCAAGCTTCTCTTCCCCTTGAGGCAGGCTTTGTTCCACCTCAAAACCATCTCCACATGTCTCCGCATGAGGTACGGTCAATTTTTTTTTATCAGTTTTGGCTGTTGCATCCTGAGATTTGTGAGTTACCTATTATTGCTATCATTGTTCTTATCATTATATATAGTTTTCCAATGTTTTGGAACTGAGTTAAACGGTATCGTCTTTTTGTGAGTCCCCCTATCGTTCGCCAGGGTTTAGAGTATGAATGCAAGGCTCCTATATGCAATTGTAATCATTGCAAAATTGAAGGTAATTACTTCACATGACATAGCTGCGCTCCACAGGAGAGAAGCGACCTTCATAACATTCCAGTGTATATGGAGAAAAAGAAAACTGTCACTTGTCCTTGTCTGACTGGTGCGGCTTGGAGGGAATGAGGGTGGCTGGCTGACCCTGCACAACAAATACCGAACAGGATCCATTCCCTTCTTCTTTACTAAGCGCGGACGGAGTCTTGCAACATGAACATGTAGAGCTTCCACGAGATTTCTTTACCAAGCTTAGGCTCGTTCAAGCCCAGCTATGACACTGCGCTGCGCGTCGATTCTGGGGGTCGTCACATGCAGCACGAAGATCACGTGGGACCGCGACGAGTGCAAGTTGCAGCGCGTTTTGCCCACGACTCTCGATCTCAGTCCTGAAGCGAGGGTCGCGATCGAGGGTCGCGGCGACTGCGAAACCAAAATTCAAAGCGGCCACAACGCCAAGACACATCACATCATGTCACAAACAGCCCGGACGATGTTTTCCTGTTGAATGAATAGCGCCACTGACCGGACCTACCAGGGTCCGGTGGTTTTACATCCTCTGGCCTCCAGGGGCGGTGACTCATCAAGAGTCGACAAATGTCAACAGCCTGGTTCGATGAATTGCAGCCCTCTTCGATGTCTCGCCAGAATTGGAACCCGGACGACTGGAGTGTGAGTAAAGGACACCGCCTCAAAAATCGGATGGGCACCTCGTGTTTTTGGCAACCCCAAAGGAATGAACTACGGAACATGTAACGGAACTGTCCCTATACAAAACCGCGTGGATGAGGGATAACATCGTGGTCAAACCGCCACACCAGCGCATCCATCCATCAAGTGTCCATCAAAGAACTGGGCTGATTGGGCTCTGGAACTTCACCTGAATGCTGTTTGACTTACAATCACCAACGAGTGGCGCCAGCGTTCATGTCGCCCAACACGAACGCTGTCCGATCGTCTGCTCAGCTGCGTTCTTCGCTTACTTGGCTACACATGCTACACACCCGACGGACTATTCGACGCTCCTGCTGCAATGACGGCTTGGACATCAGCTGCGCAGGTGACATATTCGCGCGAGAGTCCATCCACAAAGAGGCCGCGTTGGGGCAACTCCTGGTGTTGGACAGCTTCGGAGGGGCCGTAAGTTGTAACCACTAGGGCTCATGATGGATCCGAGCTGAGACCTCTCAAAGAAGCATCATGAGCAGTGAAAGTGAAACGATGGGAAACGCCCCTCTTTCAGGAGCTGAGTTCTATCTATCCTTTCAGTGTTCAGGAGATCGCTCCAAAGGTCTTCAACAATGGGACATGTTTGGATCTTGTTTTTCTGTGTTTAGAATCAAACATGCAGGTCCCCTGACAGCATGATGAATGCATTTATCCTATAAGTCAGAAATACCTGGCCTTCACACGAAGAGCTTCAATGTTTGGTCTCAGCAGGTCTTTCATCTTCTCTTTGTAGACCTCCACGGATAGAGGCGCAAACATGCAAACCTCACTACCACTCCCTGATATCCAAAGAGCGACTGAACATTGCCATATCGCTCCCTTACTTGCTTCAGTATTCATCATCTTTAAATTGAAGCTTAAGCCCGAACATCTTGAATTCTTTACGCAAGCGTTGCATTCGCATCCAAAAAACCACTAAAAACGCCGCAGTCTCTTCGCCTATTCCTATTCTCAGTTCAGTCGTCTTGTCCTGTCTTTGATATATATACATATTACCCATGGTTCTTTCAAAAAGCTTCCTGAAACTCATAGCTAATTAAGTTTACTTTAATGATAATTAGTCAATGCACTGCACGGCACTCAAAGCTCACTTTGTTTTTGCAGGACAAGCGAGAAAATCCTTATCCTGGCTGGTCGCTGTGTATCAAGCAGCGACGAAAATAGATAATCTCGCTATTAACAATGATGGCATCTTGTTAAACGTTGCTTGCCCAGCCAATCAGACACTACCCTGCGAACTCAGGAATTGATCTGCCCAGCACCTGGCGAATATAAACATGCATCTTTTCTGCATGGTGAGGTTGACGTTCACATCATGAGAACTCCAGAAATCTCCAGGACCTCCAAGAAATCCCCCGCAAACGCCATAGTTAAATAACAACCATGCAACACATTGGACAAACCAAACGCATCCAAACGCCATAAAAGTCTACACTTTTCCCGTGATCATGGACTTGAAACGGTTTGCGTTCCGTGAATGTTTGACAAGGTGTGCACCCGGCACCCGCTGCCATCCGATGCCACATAGGGTTTCACCATCGCCGAGACACTTCATGGCCAGGGTTCGCCAGGTGTTTCTCCTCAGTTCTCATAGGAAGCATACTCCATCTTCGCCGCTCCGATGTCCAGCACGAACGCACCCTGACAAGTCGAATGATTAGCTGACCCTTTGGACGAGCTTCGGCGTTTTGCATGGTCAAAAGTCACGTCTTTCGGCCAAAGCTGAAGCTGAAAAAGGATGAAAAAGGCTACACTGCAGTTATATGAACTCCCAAAGCGCCACAGCAACAGAATCACACCGCATCTCAATAATTCACATGCTCCTGCCAAAGACACACCAACAAAACACTGCCCCGGACCCCCTTTGATCTATGCCAAGGTGTTCCAATGGAAATATTTATATATCCGATGTCGACCGTCGCACCGGTCGCTTGGGGCGCGCACCAAGAAAATGATCGCAAAGACCGAGGCAAAGTTGAAGAGCTTGGCGCCACGTGGAGGGGAGTTTTTCGTTGAGAGATGGGTGGAGATTTTGGCGTCGATCATCTATTTTCGTGCTCAATTGATATCAAACACATGCTGGAAACCTTAGCATCATGTACTAATACACGGGAATGCACTTTGAATGATTGTTTTTCTTATTGTAATGGCGTGCAACTGAGATTCTTTCAGCGGAAAACACCTTGATGGAAAACGCCCAGGGGTCCAGAAACCCTATGTTTTTGTAGGCTTGCGATCGAGCGAGATCAGGGTATTTCACCAGGCCCATGGGCGTTTTCGGCTCGAATCCGAACCACGAGTTCCTCATAGTTCCTCTATAGGTCCCTACTAGCAGCTTAGCTGCCAGCAGCCTGGCCATACGTTGCAGTCGTCCAGATCGCTTGAATCCGTTTTGGAACAGATTCCGCATTCCCCAAAAGAACAGTTCAGACAGTGTTCAAACACTTTTCCACTGTGACCTTCATTTCACGTAAAAAAAAAAAAACCCTTGTCACCAAACACGAAACCTGTTCGCGCGATCACTAGCTGGGCTGCTGACCACATTGGAGGTGGCAAACTGGGGCGTTTCGGTGGGGGGCGGCTTTCCGTATTGCTCATCCAGGTCCTGCACGGAAAGGGACGGACAGGATCGCTTTTGTCCAAATGTTCTTACTTCGCGATCATTCCACGTGTCTGACACAACTGACGGTGACACAACTGACTCCCATACACTGCATGTATGCCATATCATGCCTACATTGACCCCCCAAAGCACCCCAATGTATGGCAGTCCATGGCAGTCCCATGAGCGTCTGGGACGACGAAAACCTCCACTGACGAACACCACAAACCGCTTGGTCGCCGCTTTGTCTCTTCGACGCCCCGGTTTCACTCCGTGGCAGCTCGCTCTCGACGCTCCGCTTGCACAGCCTACGACGACGCGGCGAGAGCCGCGGCGGCTGTGACGCGTCGGTGTGTAGTAGGGGGATGGGTGCCCTATGACTGGGGGGCAAAAGAAACGGGTGACGCAACAAAACCGAGTGAACAAAACATCTTCAGTTCAAAAGATTCGAAAAGGTATCCAATCTTGTTATTGCAAAGAAGTTGAAACTACTAGGTTCAAACATAGGGGGAGGCCATCTAATTGTCCAAAATGCTCCTAGCAAATTGGGACAATAACTCTACGGAGACCCGGGGTCTTCATCTTAGAGCCACATCAAAACCTCGTACCAAGTTCAGGCACGTAGTTGAAGATCAGAACCACCTATAGAACTTAGATGAACTTAGAACCTCCCATCCCATCCTCCATCTATCAGGAGTGACTGATCCATCAGGTTCCCATCCTGGGGGTGATGGGAGTGACTATCCTCCATGGCCTCTGAACGACTGGGACTTCCGGCCGTCTCGCCCTGGCTGCGTAGGCGCTGAGGCCTAGCGGTGTTGACATGTGACCATGGCTGGACACCCCAGGCACTGCCAGGTGTCCAAGCACATCAGTAGCCCCACAACTTGATGGTTCAATTTGTCATGTCGCATGTTTTGTTGGAAAAACATCAAAAACCCTCAGGGCCCTGATGCCATCACCGGTTTCAACCCGTGCTGATCCAGGTGTCAGCTGAGCACTTTACCCAGAGACGAAGGCCTCTGATTCCGGCCTGTTTGGGTGCGGAACTCTGTCGTAAATCGTGGAGTTTGGTGCGGCACTCTGACAACAATGTTTGTTCTGGAACTCTGCATTGGTCTCTCGGAGTGTACTGACCAACCACTCAGTGGCTCACAAGACCCATGAGAAGCAGCAAACCTCAGACACGGGACAAGAAACAGGTCAAGAAACGCAAAGAAGAGCAGCACACAACATAACAAAGTCATATCATGTCTCTGTTGGGGAGGAGTGTGGCGTAGCCTTATGAGCCAAAAAACTGGCATTTCTGACGTGTTGAACCTAACAGCCCCACAAGTTGCCGCCTTTAACCGAAAACATGTTTTTTCTCTCTTGAGATCTGGTGACTGCAACCAATGCCCCGACTGGTAGACCAACAAAACCTAATGATGGTCTGCTAATCGTTGATGTTGCTTTAGCCAAGCCCGTTCACCCGTTATGTTCTACTTTGTCTCTTTGCCTTTAGGTCAAACTAAACTTTGGACCAACTACGCTAAAACGACCCATGGCCATTCATGATTCGTGTTCTCTCCCACAAACACTAAGATTCCCCACAGCTGCCAGCAGCGCTGCAACTGTCAGGGCGAGGCATGTGATCCGGGTCGCCTTGGAACAAAACCGGCCTGGCCTGGTCAAGGACACCCTCCCTCCAAACATCTCCTTTGCCCGTGAAAGTGGGCATCAACCCACTTGGGTGTGTGTCCCCAAGATTCCATGGTTTCCAGCAGCCTTCACATCTCTTCAGCTCCGAGTGAATCATCAAAAAATCATAGTTTAGGGGCTCCCCATGGGTCTTCTGTTGAAACAAACCCCGGGCTAGTCAAGCGGTTGTTGCCAGAGGGAGACTTGTAAACAAACAGGTCGACCGGCAAGGACCTTGCCTTTGAGCAAGAAGCAAAAACAACAACTAATAAGTGACTTTCCATCTTGAGGTTCTCTTTTGATTGCCAAGAACAAGTGCGTCACACACGCGCACAATCATTATAGGACCGGACAGCCCCACATGTTAACAACTTCACAAGACACAGGAGCGGACAATTGGTGGCTGGTGGTGGTTGGTTGGTGGTTGGTGGTTGGTGGTTGGTGGTTGGTTGGTGGTTGGTGGTTGGTGGTTGGTGGTTGGTGGTTGGTGGTTGGTGG